CCGCTCGGCCTCCAGCGCCCCAACGTGCGCCCACAGCCCCAGCAGCAGCTGGGGGCAGAGGGAGGGGGGCGGGCACGGATGGGGCACCTGGCACCTGCTCTAGCACCCAGCTCTGGCTCCAGCACCCATCCAGGCTCCAGCACCTGGCTCTAGCACCCAGCACCTAGCTGTAGCACCCAGCATCCATCCCAGCTCTAGCAACCAGCACTTGGATCTAGCACCCAGCTCTGGCTCTAGCACCCATCCCAGCTCTAGCACCCAGCTCTGGTACCCAGTACCCATCCCAGCTCCAGTGCCCAGCTCTAGCACTCACCACTCAGCTCTAGCACCCATCTCAGCTCCAGCACTTGGCTCTAGCACCCAGCTCTGGTACCCAGCACCCATCCCAGCTCTAGCACCCAGCTCTGGTACCCAGCACCCATCCCAGCTCCAGCACCCAGCTCTGGTACCCAGCACCCATCCCAGCTCCAGCACTTGGCTCTAGCACCCACCACTTGGCTCTAGCACCCATCCCAGCTCCAGCACTTGACTCTAGCACCCAGCTCTGGTACCCAGCACCCATCCCAGCTCTAGCACCCAGCTCTGGTACCCAGCACCCATCCCAGCTCCAGCACCCAGCTCTGGTACCCAGCACCCATCCCAGCTCCAGCACTTGGCTCTAGCACCCACCACTTGGCTCTAGCACCCATCCCAGCTCCAGCACTTGACTCTAGCACCCAGCTCTGGTACCCAGCACCCATCCCAGCTCTAGCACCCAGCTCTGGTACCCAGCACCCATCCCAGCTCCAGCACCCAGCTCTGGTACCCAGCACCCATCCCAGCTCCAGCACTTGGCTCTAGCACCCACCACTTGGCTCTAGCACCCATCCCAGCTCCAGCACTTGACTCTAGCACCCAGCTCTGGTACCCAGCACCCATCCCAGCTCTAGCACCCAGCTCTGGTACCCAGCACCCATCCCAGCTCCAGCACCCAGCTCTGGTACCCAGCACCCATCCCAGCTCCAGCACTTGGCTCTAGCACCCACCACTTGGCTCTAGCACCCATCCCAGCTCCAGCACTTGACTCTAGCACCCAGCTCTGGTACCCAGCACCCATCCCAGCTCTAGCACCCAGCTCTGGTACCCAGCACCCATCCCAGCTCCAGCACTTGGCTCTAGCACCCACCACTTGGCTCTAGCACCCATCCCAGCTCCAGCACTTGACTCTAGCACCCAGCTCTGGTACCCAGCACCCATCCCAGCTCTAGCACCCAGCTCTGGTACCCAGCACCCATCCCAGCTCCAGCACTTGGCTCTAGCACCCACCACTTGGCTCTAGCACCCATCCCAGCTCCAGCACTTGACTCTAGCACCCAGCTCTGGTACCCAGCACCCATCCCAGCTCTAGCACCCAGCTCTGGTACCCAGCACCCATCCCAGCTCCAGCACTTGGCTCTAGCACCCACCACTTGGCTCTAGCACCCATCCCAGCTCCAGCACTTGACTCTAGCACCCAGCTCTGGTACCCAGCACCCATCCCAGCTCTAGCACCCAGCTCTGGTACCCAGCACCCATCCCAGCTCCAGCACTTGGCTCTAGCACCCACCACTTGGCTCTAGCACCCATCCCAGCTCCAGCACTTGACTCTAGCACCCAGCTCTGGTACCCAGCACCCATCCCAGCTCTAGCACCCAGCTCTGGTACCCAGCACCCATCCCAGCTCCAGCACTTGGCTCTAGCACCCACCACTTGGCTCTAGCACCCATCCCAGCTCCAGCACTTGACTCTAGCACCCAGCTCTGGTACCCAGTGATGCGGCCAGCGTGCCCACGCTCGCCCACGGGCGCCACGTGCAAAGGCCTCGTGCACCCACACCCCAGCTCACGTGCGCCCACCTTGGCCCACACGTGCAGCCTGGTTTTGCACACGTATGTGCACGCGCAATGCCCAGCCACCTGGCCTGGCACCATCTCCAGGCTCGCACGCTCGCGTGCATACTCTCAGCCCTCGCCCGGGGCTTTGCACGAACCCAGCTTTGTGTCACCCATGTTGCACTTGTGCGTGCACACAAAACCTCGACTTTGCACTCGCATGTGTGCACACAAGCTAGCTTTGCACACACAATCACACGCCCGGGCGTGCACAACTGGGCTTTGCACACACAACCTGCCTTTGCACTCACGCGTGCATGCCCCACCTGGTTTTGCAATGGTGCACGCGCACTAAAACCGGGCTTTGCACTCGCACGTGCACGCCACCAGGCTTTGCACGCGCATGTGCCTGTACGACTGGGCTTTGCACGCACAACCCAGCTTCGCACGCCCACGGGCCCACACACCCGGGCTTTGTGGGCAGAGGCACATGCGTGTGCCCCCCCCCCACTTTGCACGTGTGTGCGCGTGCAAACGCAACCCCCCCTCTTCTTGCACACGTGTGATCACA